ATGACTGTAACTTGAAAAATTAAAGTCGGAATTGACTCAAACTTTCTACATAGCATAAGAACATCAATATGTATCAGAAAATGTAATAAAAATTTGAGGTGATTTTTTGGCCATTTTTTGGAAAAAGCATGGGCTATATCAGGGATATAATAGACTAACGTAACCGGGATTGGTTACGGACCGGAAGTCAATTATCAGACTCTGTTATTATTCATTAAATTAATGGCAGCAATCAATGGCATCTTAGCAAAATGGCTGAATGTAAATTGTTATAACTAAAAAACCAGCAACAGGAAAAATTCAAAAACAACTTTAAACAATGTAAAAACATGTAAAGGGTCTCTTTATTGTAGTTTCATAGCAATAGAATCTAGTCTATTCTCCTGAGAGGTACGCAAAAGTCGTACCATGGCAAACTGGTTTTTCTTGAATATTTCCTGAAGAACACTCTGGAGAAACAAGAGAAGCTGTCTAAACAATGTAATAAAGTAAGTAGCAACATTTCATGACAAAAACACATTTATAGAAACAAATATTTGGGCTACAGAGGTACGCAAATGGAATTTTAGCCGTAAATTGAAGATTTAAACAATTTAAAACAAATATTAACTTACAATAACCTATCAGAACCTTGAAGCCGCCATTATAACTTTGCAGTAGATTTTTCATAAAGCTAAATACATTTTTAAAAGAGAAAAGAGCAACTTCATACTCCAGACATTGGCAGTTGCCATCTTGAAAATCATAACAGAGACTGCAAAAAGTTTTTATACACAAATCATGCGCTCACGTGATCCCGTTGCCAATCCCGGTTACGTTAGTCTATTATATCCCTGGCTATATATAGTACAGGGTATTTTTCAGATTTTGGCCAATTTTTAAAAATGGTCATAACTCGGAAAATTCAAGTTGGAATCGGTTTAAACTTTCTACATAGCATAAGGACATCAATATGTATCAGAAAATGTAATAAAAATTGGGGGTGATTTTGGAGCCATTTTTGGGAAAAACCATTGGTGTACTCACTGTACTATGTATTTTCAGAAATTGTCCAATTATTTAAATTGCTCATAACTTGATTACATATTGTCTCCCTCCCTTTTACTCTTTTTATATCTCTGTACCTCTGCTCCTCTCTCTACCCTCTGTCTGTCTCTCTCCTCCTACTCTTTCCTCTCATACCCCTCTCCTTCCCTTTCTTTCTCCCTTTTTCTATTAGATTATTATTATTAGACTATTATACTAAAGTCTAAAGCAGTCACATTGTGATTATTGAGACTACTACTTCACAGACAAGAAGAGAACAATTACATTGACTATCTGTGTCAACAAGCAGTCACAATGGCTGATCATTGAGATGGCAACTTCACAGACAAGAAGAGAACAATTACTATGTGCATTGACTATTTTTGTCAACAAGGAATAGATTTAACCTTTGCTCACTTGCCTTACACAAAGCCGTGGATGTGTTGTGTTCACGGAAAGTAATTACTGGTCATAGTCTCATATGCAATACTAGTTACTCCAATATTCATTTTAATGGTGGTGGATTAAGTTTCAAAAATTTCTACCAGAAGGCAGAAGTGTTGTCTAAAGGTTACTTCAGAGGGGACTTCTAATAATAAATCTTAGCCTTAAGAATGAAAGTGCATGCTAGCTAAGCTTATGTAATGCATACAAAATAAAGTTGAAAATTGGCTCTATGATGTAGCATGAACCTATATGTATACATGCCAGTAAGTGATGCCAAATTATAGTACTCTAGTCTTTAACGACTAGACCTGAGATACCACAAACCTAGGTGTCTGTAGTATAGTACAGTCTAATTGCGTGGGCGTAAGCTTTAGTTATTAATACGCGGAGAAAGGTCTGCTTATACATTATAGCTGCCTGACCTAGGATTTTTATCAAGAAAGCTAGGAGGTCAACAAAACTTTACTCGAGCGGGGTGGCTAAAGCCACACTCGTACCCGCAACATTTTTGAAGACTGCTACTGATAGAGTAAGATGTATGAATGAAATTATGATTACAAAATAGCTGATTTCCTAGTCTAATT